TAGGAATTAGACACAAAGTTTAGGTTCTTATATTTCTGTAGAGTAACTACAGACAAAAAGTATGATGTGGCATCAGAATCTGAGTATTTCTAGACTTCGATCTTGCAGTGAGATATATAAAATCTCTGGGAAGCAACACAATAAAATTATATGTAAAGGGCAGTCACTTGTCTGAAGGGTATTTTATAGAGAAATATGTTAATAATGACAAAAAGTGTTGACTCCCTGCTCTGTATTTTTTGTGACAAATCTATTAGACAGTTAACATACAAAATACATAATTGTATCTTAATCCTGTATGACCAATTTCAACAACCAATTTCCGCAACAATTCTAACATTACCTTCTATGTAAATCTCTGCAGAAGTGGAGTCTGTTCCATAGATGTTTGAAGCAAAGCACGAGTAACGTCCTGTATCCTCCTCAAAAGCTTCAATGATAACCAATGAATGTTGATCACCTGTCTGGATAATTTGAATGTCTGGTGAGTTTTCAAGCTCCTTCCCTTCACAGTACCACCTGCAAGGCAAAAAATATTGTTTATCAATGCAAACAACTTGACAGCTAGAATAACAATGTTGGAAGTCTTTCCGACGATCAAATGGGTGGGTTTTAGCCTGAAGATTCTGACAGAGTCCTGCAGGTAAGTGTTGAATCAACAGTCACAGGAATAAAATATTTATGATTTTCATAATATTAAATTACAGCAAATAATGGAGCTCCTTTCTTTGCGGTATTTGAACATACTAACAAACTAGTTTATGCAAGCACATATTTTTCTTGACATACAGATTTCAATAGTAGAGTAGAAGAGCTCTGAATTTGGAACACTACAAATCCAGCTCTGAACTTCTCTTAAGGTACATTCAGATCTGTGTTGTGGCTTGAACTGTAGCAAAAAAAAAAACCCTAAGTAAACAAATTTCCCTCAAAGTTATGATTCCAAAGTTCATGTTGATTCAGAATGTGACTGAAATTTACTGTGTTACTCTTCGTTTTGTCATGTATTTAAGACAATCTGCTTTTTATAAAAGATGGCATAAGCGTACCACAAGGAAAGAGAAGTGGTCTGTTATAATATAGAGGCACTTCCTTACAGGGACATGGCCAGTGAGACAGCTGGACCTTGAATTCTTTTCTGCATCATATTGCTGTGTTTCTCTTTTAAACCCAGCTACACATCCAAGAATACACTGGGCCCTTTAGAGACTTCACGCTCTAAAAAGGAGCCTCAAAGGGACTATGAGGTATGAAGGAGTACAGATCTGGAACTTAAATGCTGATTACATAGCTAAGTAGTAAACCATGTACTATTTGTGCGCCATCAGTCCTAGCCATCCAGCATGGCTTTCTTAAAGTAGACAGGGTATTCCCCAGTCCACTTCGAGTTGCACATTTAGTGTCATCTGTAGCTGTACAGTCAACTGACTTGAATGTACAGCTTGGAAAGCATACAGGTCTGCCTGGTACGGAGGGAAGCTCCTGCACTGTAAAGTGAATCATACTGCTTAACACAATTTCCCTTTTTAGAACGGCAAACCTTTGTAGCTAGAGAGCTAGAACTTAAAAGTCTAGCTTTTACAAGCCTCCATTGTAACAAGAATTGAAGACAGGTCTAAGAAAATTACTTTTATGAATTTAACATTTCCGATTGCAATAGACAGTCATGTAGTAAATACCATCATGTTAAACGAGGATGCCAGTAGGGTGTAAAATGTCCCAGCTCTCTTCCCTGACATTTCACAGCTGAAGTACAAAGTACAGCTTTGCTTCACTAAAATATATCCACATATTTCTTGCAGGGTTTTACCAATGAGAAACTGGCACTGCTTTATGTGGCAAACTTTAACCAGTTACTCATTTCTCTTCCATTTGAGCCTTAGGGCTCTGACAGACAAACTCTTGCAGATCTGGCAGCAGTACTTTAAAATTTTAAAATCCTGATGCCGACTTCTTTGCCGGGGGTTTCTCGCTCTGAAGCCAGGATGGCAGGTTTAAATGTGTTCCCAGGCCTAGCTGCCCTAGTTCTGGTCTGATGAAAATGGGTTTGTGCTAGGACACTAGACATGTGGATCTAGGATAACTAAGCCATACAAATTCTCTTATATATCACTTTTGGTAAATGTTAATAACCATCAAAGAAGGGACTGGGCAGTCAGGAGGCTACAGCTGCATCTTAAATTGCCACAGGTGTTCACTTGAACTCAGTGTGAGCCACAAAGTTGAGGGAGTATTCCTCTGTCTCTCTGAAGTTCAACATGGTTCATTTGCTAGGTTTTCTACCAGTCTGGTGGGCAAAATGAGATGCTCCAAGGTACTTTCTGTCAGTGGACAATCTGCATAGGACAACACTTTACTCCGGGATAGCTTTCAGCAGCCATTTCATGCTACTTCTCAAACCTCAATGGAACTTGTTTAAGGTGCTTCACAATACAGTGTAAACAGCGTTCTGGATATTAACCAAACCCATGCAACATGCTGCACCTTCGGAAATTTAAGAGACAGCTGTCATCGTACAAAAGGGAGTAATAACATCAGCAGATATCCTAGGTTGCCAGTTGAGCTAGCCCATCTAAAAAGGCAAATAAGAACTTACTGGATATTCTGGCTCAGACTGCAAGTCCACTTAAGCCAGCATGCTGTCTTGACAGCAGACACTTACGGAATAGTAGAATAGAGCAAGTATATACATATATTTGTTTGTATGTTCATATATTTCTCCAAGTATCTAACTATTCTCTTTATCCTTTTTGTCTTTTTATCTTTATCTTTTATCTACCATTCTCTTTATCTTTTCTAGAAGGTGTGAAGCAGCACTTAAAATAACTTTAAAAAGCCGAAATCACTGGTCTTGACATGATTATTTACAAACTACCTCTTTTTTAAAGGATTTCACTATCACAGTACCATTACCATTATTTTCTAGTAGATTAGATTGAATGGTTCTTTATTACCATTTAGTTTGCAAATCCTGCCTTTCATTTTTCATCTTTATTTTGAAAGAATTCATTTACACTTCCATTCAAAATACATTTCCTTTAAAAATAATGATCCTTCTAGCTGCTTCTGATTGAGCTGTAATGTTCGTATTCCATCACAGTCCAGTCAGGAGCCTTCAGATCCTCTAATACAAACCTCTTCAAACAGAAGGAAAAGCTATTTTAGACTTTGCCCGTAATGACTTGCGCAAATCTGGTATTTTCCCCGCTAAAAATTAGATACGGTGGGGTTTTTTTCACTGGCTCCCCAGAAGTGCAGGTTACATTTGCTTTTCTGTTCAGTGCTGTGCTTTATAAATATGTAGATACAGACACCATAGCTAGTAGTGGGGTCCTTGGTATCCAGAACACAAACATCTAGTGCCTAGGATAAAGGAACAGCTCTACCACGAGTAAGTAGAGGAAACATTTAGCAGTCCCAAGGGAAAAGTAGGGTAATGTGCATTACAGGGTTGATTGAAAAGATCCTTTGAAATTGATTAGTGCCGTTTTGCAGTTCCAGACCAGGAAACCATGTAGGATTCCTGTGTCCTGAAGGGGGATTTTTTTTATTCTGTGTACAATATGGTTTATTCTTTGGTTGTTTTCAAGATTTATGATTAGTGATAATTGACGATGGTCACATTTTCAGGAGAGAAGACCCAAGGTTCATGCACAGTTGTATGACTACAAGCACAATTTGGGTATATGGATGTACAAGTAGCCTTTTAGGTGTGTAATTCATGTAGGCAACTGTGTACTTTGGGAGCTGAGTCATGGCACTTACTCATGTCTTTTTATATACCTACCTCATGCCTCTTCCTTATAATGTAGTCTTGTTTTAACATGTTAGCTTTACCAGATATGAAAAACTATTAAAGAGAATACCCATGTTCTAGCATTTGATCTCATTTTCAGCAGCATCTTTTCAGAACATTAAAATAAGTTATGTAGTACAGTGATACTATATTTTTGTGTCCACTTTTGCTTCACTAAAATATATCCACATATTTCTTGCAGGGTTTTACCAATGAGAAACTGGCACTGCTTTATGTGGCAAACTTTAACCAGTTACTCATTTCTCTTCCATTTGAGCCTTAGGGCTCTGACAGACAAACTCTTGCAGATCTGGCAGCAGTACTTTAAAATTTTAAAATCCTGATGCCGACTTCTTTGCCGGGGGTTTCTCGCTCTGAAGCCAGGATGGCAGGTTTAAATGTGTTCATTTAATTTATGCTTTATGTGACACATAAAGCAAGAATGCTGCAATATAATCACCAGTAAGATATAAGAACTGTGTTCCTACTGATCAGCTTTTCCAATTAACCTGTTGTGTTTGTGTAGAGATAGTCTGTATTGCGTGCCTTTGTGAGGCACAATTCTAATTGCCTATAAGCAAAATGAAACACACCATGTAAGCTATTTCTTCCAGTTATTTTAGTAGTATGTGAGTAGTATGTTCCTCTAGTAGACTCAAACAGACAATAAAGCAAGACTGAGTTAATTCTTTTCTTTGCAGTTATTTTTTTTCCTTTGACTAGTCCAAAATATGCAACATGAGAGATTTAAAATTTCAGGAATAAACTTCTGTTTCAAACCTTTGTTTAGTTCTCCTGTGCAGGGTGTTCTTTCGTCACTATTTTCACTGTGATGTTAAAGTATTTTGAGATTAAGCCAAGAAAAAGAGCGTGCTACATGTATGTTATCTCTTCACAATGCTTATGAATGAAAACCAATTTTCTCTTGTGAAATTAAGCTTTATGTAAATCTTTGGTATGGCCATATCTACTCCTTGCTTATTAACACTTTTATTTTATTCTTACCATCAAAACGTTGTACGTGGTAGCAATGAAATGTCAGTTCCAAGGGGAGTTCTGACATTGAGATACGTGGCATGACTGAAGTGGCAGTACTCTCTGTCACTGACATTTCATTCCTGCCATGAATTGTAATGATAGCTTCATCATACAAGGCAGGTTCACATTAAGCACAAGCAGCATCATCCACTGTGCCAAATTCATCCTAGGTCTTAATCCATTGACTTGATTGGAGTTGCATGGAAGAGAAGTTTGGCTCTCTAGGCTTTGAGCACTAAAACAGATAAATGGTTTCATTTGGCAGCCAGGAAAAAAAAAATCTCAATCAATCTTAAGTGACTTCAGTCTCTAAAAATCTGTGATTAGTTGCAGATCTAGTCTCCCTAAACGAAGCAGCACTAAAATGCACTTTTTTAAGCTTTGTATGCCTATGTTAAAGAATGTTTTCATGGAAACCTTATGACATACAGCCTGTTTTTAGAACATCAAATCCTCATGACACTTCCAGGATAGCTGCGTATGCCAAACCATGCAATGTGATTCATAAGTAAAATTAACCTAAGAGTGATGTGCCAAACAGTTTGGAAAAATGTAGGCACCTCTGAACTTGAGGGAATAAGGAGTGCTCTCCTCATGGAGAGGAGTGAATGTCACACCTATCATTACTCATACAGAAACAGAGCTGTAGAAGGAAGCATGAGAAGGAGGTCGTCAAAACCTTTAACACTTTGGAAATATACTACACACTTCTCTTCAATGCTTATTTCTAACCTGCAGTATAATCAGAGTAAGGTAATCGATCAATAATTGTAATAGTGCTCTCTAATTGCGACCTAATGTTTGAGCTAGCTGGAGGCCCATATACTATAGTATCAATCGTTGTTCATCTCTCCTATGTCACTGCATTCAGCTTGATGATACTGAAAAATGGGTAACGTTTCACTGAAACTTCTTTCTAGGTAGGTAGGCTTAACGAGCTTCCTCTGACATGGGCTTGTTACATTAAGGCTGAGTTATCTTAAAAAGCAGTTGGACAGGTCTATCTGTATTCAGCCAAGCAGGATTTAGCTTTCCATGTACTGATACTTCAAATCAGTTCCCAGTTTCTTCTTGTGCTCCACCATCCAATTTTCTGTCCCTCAGTGAGCCCTCGATTTCTCCAGATAGTTACCTACCAAGCCTGTAAATTATACTGCTTTGTCATTGCCAATGATATTTTGACCCTGATCCATCATGAATGTCATTTACACCATTTTTTACATCATCAGTTTTGTTTTGTACTGTCTTGCTTGTGGTATCTGTTCCTCATATTTTCCAGTCCTTTCCATTCCTGTGATCAGCTTCTTTCTAAATCTCCTGTCTCTAATTTCTCTCTTATAATCCCCATTACATCAGTTTAACCATCTGATTGCTCCTAGTGTTGACTGAGAACCTACATTACAGAGCTTGTTGAATCTTGTTCTTGTTTCACAACGCGCTGGGTTCCCATGGTATCACTTCTACATTGTAAGTGTATATATTATAAGCATTACAAGTAACTCGGGATTCCTTTCTGTGGTTGGGAAGTCCATTTTAAGTCAAAGGATGCAGGCAAGCATGCATTAGCACATGCGTGTCCAAAGGATGCTTGTTTACTGAGCATGGTCATTCAGCTGAGTTGAAGGAAGAAGAAATCATGCCTTAAAGCCAGTCAGCATTAAGCTTTCTTTCATCAGTTGCTGTCTTGCCCGTTAGTCCTTTCCTGGGACACTGATTTTTTTCTCTCTCTTGCTTTTCTGTTAGACTTCTTCTCTCCTTGCCCAGCTCCGCAGATACTGAACTAACTCACCACAAACCTCGGAAAACTCTTACCCTCAAAGCAAGGCAGTTGCCAGTTCTGGGCCTGGTTCTGGACAGAGTTCCACAACTATGGCCAACAAGATGCTTCCTTCGCTGTTTTGGAAGCTTTGCCCAGCAGATCAGACAAGCACTATTTTTAGTGAAAAAGCCTGCATTCTCATGGTCCCCATGGTTAATGGAACACATACCCCAAAGTACATTCTGTTTTCTGGTTTCCTTTTGCTGTAGCAGTGACTAAAAAGGTCGTGATCACTGGGAAGCACATGAATATTTATCACTCAGGCAAGTGAATTTTTTATACACTTTCTTAGTGTTACTCCCACCCATTGGCAGAGTTGAAAGAATCTTTGATGAACAGGACAGAAGTTTTGTTCACAAACAATTATGATCAGGAAACTCTGTTCAAGCAGCTAACATTCCCAGCTTTCTCCTTATTACAGCATGTACATACACACAGGCGCACACACAAACACAGGGGGAGAGGTCGGTCAAACTTAACACTTTGTGATTTATCTTTTTATTTGTTAGTTTAAATTGTGAAACTGAAAGCTGAGCCTGATCTTTTTCTTGAGCTTGACTGCTTGGGACTGATTTTCCCTATGGGACTTCTTTCTCCCCGTCCCTACTTCCTTGGCCTTGAGGCATCATGTTGTGAGTTCTGGACTTCTGTGTTAGCTCCTCTAAGGCTCTGATCTGGCTACAAGTGTGAGTCAGTAAACCAAGTGTGCATTTCTGTTTGGAGCCGTGTATTATCATTGGAAAAGTCTGATGGATGCTTATTCTATAAGAGTGTAACAGCTCCTGTATTGACTGTCGTTCACATAAGTAGCTTATTTTGTTATTTACAGTAAACAAAATCAAATGTTGAGATAGAAATTTCAATGGAAAAGCTTCAGTTTTGTTGGGACAAAAATAGACCCATGTTACAAAGACACTGATCGTCCAATTCGGTGGAATCAAGCCGTCCCTGAATCGGGTGCACAGGCATCCTGGCCATCCCTGGGTACTCCATGGGATGAGTCATTGTTCCTGGGTTCTCTGATCTGCCCTTGCGAGGCTTCACTGAGTTTATACTGTCAGCTTCTAATTCAGATAGTTGTTAAACGCCTAGACTTAGATGGCATGAATACCGTGTCAGTTTTATGTATGTGTCAACGGCATGGGCATGACGTGCTGTTATAAGGACGGTGGTGTGGCCTTCTGGAGAAATACATAAAATTAACATTGTGTGCTGGAGTGTACGTCTACAAACAAGCAACTCAGCGTTCACCTCTTCTGAATACAAAGAAAGCCAGATTGAGTTTGTGTACGGGTCTATATATGTAAGAGAAGACTATTTCAGTTGTTTTCTTTGTATTATAAACTGTGAATGATGAGAGAAGAAAAAAGCTATTTCTCATGTCCAGGGATCCTACTGACATTTTTAATATCAAAAAGATTTATCAAGGCAAGTGCCTGGAGAAATAACTCTCAAAGTCTTTATAAACAAGTCTTCAAAGAGTGGTGCTAATATCTAGGGGATGGTATTTCCTGTCTGTTTTCTGTCAAAAAAACCCAAATTTCTGGCACTGTTTTCTCTTTTGATCAGACTCCTCTATGAATTTAAGGGCTGAACACAATACAATACTTATAATGGCATAAGCTCCATCAAGGGAATGCCTCAAAATTGTTAATTAAAGCAGTGAGTTTAGACATGAAGCATAGTAGAAAGCATATTCTTCCCAAACAAGGTATTTCCCCCAGCTTTAGAACAGATTCCTCTTGTATAAACAAACCACTTAGTCCTTTGGAAGTTCACATTCCTGTCATGGACAAGAGACCCTGCGTGGCACCATGGATCAAGGTCTTGTTAGGGACTGAGAACCTACATGTTACTACTAAAGGCACTAGTGGGACAAAATGGTCTGGCAGTGACAGTTCAGGGATCCTATGAACTGCGTAACTTCTTGTCTTCCTGACAAAGTTGTCCGTAACTGCAGGCAGGCCAAAACAAGAGGATTCATTTGTAGATCCTTGTTCCTGTGTACTTAATATTGTGTTGTAAAAGCTTCTTCCTTCTGAAAAATTAGCAGCTGGTGTGCCAGAAATCCAAGGGAGTGGAAGGTAAAGATTCCTTACCACAAAAATCTTTGGAGCTTCTGTCTTTGGATGTTGAGATAGTTTTCATTTGATGATAGTGCTTATTAGTTCAGTGAGAAAGATGATAAAAGGTGTTGACTGCAGTAGAAGTGGTAGTAGTGCTGTACCCAGCATTGTCTAAGTATACAAGGAAGACAATGAGCTGACAATTGGAAAAAGTGGACCATCTGTGAAGTTCAGAGTCCTTTAATTAGATGCTGAAGATGCAAACAGTTCTTTTCAATATTTAGAAAAGCAACACAGATTTCTAAAAAGCCTATAAAAGGGTAGGCAACCATCTAAACTAAGGGTATCTGTTTATGATACTACAGATACTAGGATTCAAATATGTATAGTACAGCTCTAAAAGACAGATAGACTTTTCCTTTGGTACAGTCCTAGCAAAGGAAATATAATTGGATTGGTACAGTCCTAGCAAAGGAAATAAAATTTCACCACTGTAATTGAGAAGTAAATTTGGCTAGTGAGCTCTATATGAACAAATTTAGATTTAGAAATGCTGATGAGATCTAAGAATTTTCAAGTTAAAAGTTACAATAATCTGTTCCTCATTCCACTGATGTTATTGACAAATAAAGTGTAGCTTTCTCACATTTCCTTTCATCTCCAGTGATCTTTGCAAATGTCACTTATTTAAGTATCAAAACCCTCATAGATATCCATAGGTGAAAACTGAATCATCAGAATTAGCGTGCTAGTCACACAACATGAATAAGTATCAATTAATAAGAGTGTCTTACACTGATAAAATGGAAGTGTTTCTTCTAAGGTCACAGCAGAATCATTGTCAGAATCTGAATTAGAACTGAGCTGTTCCTGGTTATTTGTATAATAACTTAAATGAACTCCTTTCCTCTCTGTTCATGTATAGATGGTTTTGGTTTATAGGGACCTATATGTTCACTTATCTCAAATGCCTTCAGACATCAGCCTGAGATCTCACAGCCATTGGTGTTTTTAGCTGGTTTACACAATCAGTCTTGATTTCCATAAAGATAACTAACATTTCTTGCTAAGGAGTTAGCACTTTCTTTTAATTACGGAAGTTCAGTATTTAAAAACAGTTCTCTAAAATTCAAAGAAAATACTGTGTCCCAAAATATGTTGTCTTAAAATATAAGCAACCTTTTGTATGACTTAAAGAAAGCAATTTTTTTTTCTTAATAAATTTTAATAACCAAGATTAAGGGACTTCTGCTACAGATTGCTGAAACATACGCATCAAAATATCTGGAAAGAGTAAGGCGTACACCTACTGTTACAGAAATACAAAATGGCAAGTGCAGAATACGTTTACCTGACTTCAGGTGCTGGGATTCCTACCACAATGCAGTCCAATTGCACTTTGGTTCCTTCAGGAACTTCCCTGCTCTTCAGTTTTTGAGTAAAGCGTGGTGGTTGTCCAATAGGCTCATCAGAATATGCAGATGCAGATTCTGACTCTGTTTTTAGCTCTGCACTTGTTAATTGATTGATAGATTCCAAGTTTGCCGCCTGTCGATCATCTGTTTGTTCAAATGTTTTCTCTGCTTTGTTTTCCAAGTCTTGAGGTACTGGAATGGAAAGCCTTTCTCTGCTTTCTGATGTGCTAGACAGGCTAGAGCTACCTTTTTGAGCAGACTTATTCTTAGAATCAATTTTGCTCCTGTAGTTTTTGCATGTTCGGGGTCTTATTCTTTCAGAATTGTGAGCTTTGAAAAGTGATGAGAGCTCCTCAATAAATTCTGCTGCTTTGTTTCGGAATTCCTTTTTTGATTCTGATTCAGAAGGAAGGTGGTGTTTCTTTAGGTCTTGAGAGCTCCCTTTGGAGCCCTTTGTATTTCTGACATGGTCCTGACAAAAGTTGGAGTGCAGGCCGTTGTCTGATGTTTTCAAAGCTGTAGACTGGGCCATTTGTTTGTGTTTTCCTGTGTTTTTCAGCTGATCTGGGGGATGCTGTGAATGTGCCTGAAGCTCATCCTGTTTAGTTTCCAGTGGATTCTGATCAATAGCTTGTCTTGCCAGGTTTACACTTTCATCTAACTCTTCTTGGCTCAAAAAGGCAGAGAGATCTGGAAGGTCATCTTGTGCAGCTACCTCATCTGAATCACCAGAAGCATTGCCATAATGGAAATTATGAGAAGCTGGTTCTGATCTGCTTCTTTCACTCTTCCCTTGATGTTTAGTTTCAGCTAAATAACTTTCTCTCAGAAGTTGAGATATTGAAGTTGAGGATTCTAAACTGTCGTCTTGCATGCTGCCAACAAAAAGGACAAATAGGACCACACCTTATCAACAGCAAATTTTTTGATTGCGCACAATTACAGGCTTCTGAAAAGCAGAACGTAACATTTTCAAAGTGCATCTGCGTGCTGAATGTTAACTTGTAAGTAAAGCCTTGTTTTAAAGGCCTGCTTCTGTACATACTGCCAGATACTACTATCTTTACCCAGTAAAATCCATCTTTTATCACTTTCTACCATTGGTAGCCTTGCATAGCTAAAGCAACTGCAAGTGTGGCAATTTATCCTTTGTTCCAGGCAAAACTTCAACTACAGAGCTATTAACTGAGTTTCAATGTCAAATCTGTATCATTGCTGACGTGTGTTTCTTAGCTAAGAAACCACCTCATCTAAATGCTGGATATTTCAAGGAGTGAAAGTTGTGACAGAATAACAATAGTTTTGAATTAAGTAACTTTAGCTTGAAAGACAGTGAAGTAGTAAGTAAATGAACTCTCAAAAAGCATTTGAGGGATGAGAGGAGGAGGGAGAAGGGGAGAGAAGAACAAAAATATTCTATAATGACAATTTTTAATTTAAAATTCTTAAAGATACTGCATTATAGGAAACAATAAATGTACTATACCTTGTTAAATCAAGCATTATTTCTAATCAACTATTTAAAGTAAGTAGAGAATTATGTCATTATTCGATATGAACATCATTTGTACTACAGGCCTTTCAAAATCATTAGCTTAGGTCATCCTGATTGTGAAAAAAGGTACCACAGATGAGAAGACAGTATCAGAAAGCCCATACTTAACCTGCGTGCCTGATAAGCAAAGCTAAAGTATCCCTTTTGATACTTAAGTAAGTACTTCTGCATAATATTCTCCCTTTTAATTACACAAGAACCATTCTGAATGTAGAGGGATTCAGACATCCTATTAACACACTCATCTTAAGGTGGCTTAAATATGAAGACAAATACGACAAATACTCTTCAGAACCTTTCAGAGCGCTGATGCCTCACAGATACCGAACCAGCTGCATGACTACTTACTGGATCTGTCTCTCGGAATACGCAGTGCACGGTACCTCTCGCCTACTTCGTTTATGGCCTGGCAAGTCTTGCTGTGATGGTTGCAAATATTCCTACCCCAAGGTGTCTGATTTGTCGCACTGCAGAAGGTTCTGTTCCTGTCGTGGCATCAAGAGAAGGGAACATGCATGCCCTTGCCTCAGCCATTTCCATTCATAGCCTTATGTAGCAGCTTAAGTTGCCAGAGAAAGAGAGAAAAGTAAAAAAGGTGTCTCTGCTGTGAAGGGCTTTCTGCTCTGCTAGTGGGACAGTTGTCCCTGGAAAAGGGCTGGTAAAAAGCAAATGAGGTGGTAGTATCTCATACTGCTGCAGCATTTCTTCCGGGAATGTGAGTGACAGCCCTTCTTCCTTATTTACAAGAAGGAAAGCTTCAGTTTGAACTGTTTATGTTCTTCCTCAATGAATAAAGCTATCATATTCTGATGTGCATTTTGAGACCTTAATCCCTCCGCCTGAGGCAAAATTTGTTATACTCAAGTTCTTTTTCTTCCATAAATATTTGGCATTTTAGATTCATTGATTTTATTGTTTTATTTATTGTTTATTGTTATGAAACACACAAAATCAGTAAGACGACAAAGGCACCCAACCAAAATATTGGTAAGTTTGTGCCTGTACAAAAAAATGACAAATAAAATACCATATAAATTATGTGCTTCTAAGTACCCAATCTAGTCCCTGCAACTCAGCCAGGGTCAGCAATACCAATTGAACACTTGGCGTTAGATTATCTGGCACAGTGTTTCAGTGAAGCTGTGGCGCATAAGAGAACATTAATTTGGGAAGCCCACATGAGATAATGTTGTAAGCTGTTTCATGACTGGACAGAGTATGTAATTTAACCTCTTAAGAGAACAAAGAGGTCTCCGTGAGGCTTAAAGTTCCTGCTCTATGGATACTACTTTTGCTTGCTCAGCTTTTACTTCTTCAACAGCTGTGCAACCTTACTGAAGCTGAGCGTGTTTAAGGGGTTATATTATCTTGTTTATGTGCTGATAGCATACTATGTGCTGTAAAGGTCACAGCTAAAGCTACAGTTTCAACTCTGAAGAGTTTAAATGCATTCTAACATAAGGAGTTTACAGCCTCGAAGACAAACCTTGCAAATGAATGAACTGCAGACCTAGAATATAGCTGTAACACAGGGCAAGCATGCTTTAGACCTCCTCCCCATGTGCCGTTTGTATCTACTTAAAAACAGAAGGGAAGAAGCAGAGCCATAGCCAGCTCTTTTCTCTGCACCGTGCGCCTGGCTTAGCCTGCAACGTTGAGCAGTGTGTGCTTTTACCGGGACGTCATAGAAGGTACTGTCTCTCAGAATAGTTCTGGAGGGATGCAGCTCCACGCTAACCTCTCTACATGTGGCTATGGCTAAATTATAACATCCAGCTGTATGTATCTTCGTGTAGCTTTAGATGCTACAGCGGAAGGCTGTATTTTACATGGTTGGAAAATTTAGCTTGCTACGTTTCTTGGCCACTCTTTCTGAAACATTTCGGAATGGCACATCTTAATTTCATCTCAATGTCTGTAAATGTCATCGGAGCTTAAAAAAGACGATGCAGTTCTTTAGAGAACACTGGACACTTGGAGGAGGAGATGCAAGTAGGGAAATAATACTGTGTGATCAAAACCTGACAAAGTCAAATGAAGTTTAACAACTCCTGCAATAATTTTGTTGAGAGGGAGGGTATATGAAAATCATCTGCCTGTGACTACTCAGGGTTTCATTTTCTTCTGTTGTATAGCTGTTGCTTGATTTTCTCATTTAACTGCTATGTCTTTCAACAGAGATTGTTAATCACAGTGCAGCTTTCCTGCAGATAACCATAGTAAAGCAACTGTTTGTTCACTATGGTTATTTGAGACTTTGTTCTGGGTCTTGCATGTCTTCTATTCATCTTCTGAACAACGCATTGAAACATGAAAAAAATAATTTCTGCTAATTCCCTTAAGAGTATTACTGCCATATGAGTAGATGCTCTCAAAGATGTGTTTAGACTGGCAAAATAGCTTTATAATTCTAGTTTGCAAAAAAAGTACAATGAAGAAGCCAGTCTGATAGCAAAAGGAGGAGAATTACATGCAAATTCCTGCAAAATAACAAAACCAGGCATGCCTATACCTGGTGAAAATATAAAATGATAGAGGAAATTAAAGTAGTCAAAACCTCCTTGTACTGATGATTAATTTTGGCTAGTTGTATTGCAGTCGTATAAAGCATCTTCCATTTGGATGACCAGGCTAGACAGCACAGCCATACATGGAAGAGCAAAACCCGCTGGTCTGTCACAGTCCTGAGTGAACACATAGGAAGCAAATGGACAAATTGCTGGTTCAGCCCTGTCTCTGCCCCTCTGAGGGCAGCTGTGGAGGTGTCAGTGGGAGAAAACAAACAGTTGCCCAGCAAAGGAGCTGGAACAACGTCCTTCTTTCTGCCATCGGAGCAGAAGGGGTAGAAGGGAGCAGAGTGCTCCTTCTGGTGTTGGGAAGCAAGATATTGGTGAGAATGAATCTGATGCCAAATTCTTAATCCTTAGAGAGCTGTCATTTTTCTTTAGAGCTCACCCAGGGTCAGAATATTATATGTAACTCTTCTATATTTTCAGCTTGTGTAGAAGATAACTTTTTATTCTATTTTTAGTAAGGATGAAGTTGGGTACTAGTCAAACGTAGCACTTCAAGGCAGTGCTTGGCTACTGAAGTTTTAAGATATTTTTAATTATGTGATATTTCTAATTAAAGGCAAAATGTTGGGTTTCAGCAAATGTTGCTGTGAGGCTACCAGACACTCCAGTTACAATTATTAATTATGCCTTGCTTATGCCTTGAGAGATGTCCAGTTTCTTTTTTTATTTTTTCCTACAAGGAGTTATACTGTCCAAGGACTACAGAGGGCCGATGATTGAGGGAAGCACTGGGTAGGCTGAGCCATTCAGATTTCCCAGTCAGGGGAGAACAGCTTTGGTTCACATGAGACCAAGCATACAGCCTGACAAGGTCTCAGGGCTAGATAGCAATAAGGCTGAATTCAGTATGTTTTCTAAAATATCTTTCTAGTGAGCAAAAAGATACCACCAGAGAAACAACTATGCTATTACAGGTTTGATTAATGATAATTAATGATAACTTAGCCTTTCTATAGCCAAAATTGGAATCTAAGCTCCAAAATTAAGATCTGGTCTTGAATTCAGTCTTTCTCTTTGCCTGACTTTCTGGATTGTTTCGACTGAGATGTGGAATTGGCCTTGATATGTCTTGAGCCTTCCCTTTAATTTTTCCTGATTGGGACTTTGGAACAAATGTGTCTTCGTGGCTGCACAGAAACCATCCCACGGTCCCCCAGTGTGCAGCGGCACAGAACGCTGGCACTGAGTGGCAGTGCATGGCACACCACTGCCATATCATGGGGCTAGCAGAACGTGTACAATAATTGCAGATATCTCTGTTGAGCAGATAACTTTGCCGAAACTCTGTTGAGTAAGCAGGAAGAAGGACAAACTCTAGTAAAAACACAGTAGACAGCAATCAGTGGTGTCAATGAAAGCACCAATAATTTTGCAGACTGTAAAACTCTGTCTTATAATGAACCAGTATCAAGGGGAGGAATTGTTACAAATAATAGCCCTAAACTGGTGTTATTCAGAATTGAAAATGGGATGCCTGGCTCTAGCAGTCAGCAGTTCTCTACTCCTGACTGGTTCATTACCTACATCACCACTGCATTGAGGGCAACATTTTTTGCTTTCCTGGGACACTAACAGCAGTGACCTTGGGCACCTATTATCTTGAGAGGCATCAGAGGATGTCATGAACAAAACTGACTGCATGAACTTCTTTGGTCTACTAATTCAGTTTCCACTAGCCAACTAATTGTACAAACTTTCTGAGTTTCCAAGATCCTATATTTATGGCAATGTTCTCTTATTAGC